AAGGACAATAATGACTTACAAGAATATACTTAAAATGTATATAACAACAAAAGGTTGCAGTCTTAATTTCTCAGCCTAAATTTTGGCTCAACATTGGACTTTCTCAATAAAGAACACGTGGCAAATTAAAAGACCCACAAATAGTTGATGATGTGGCAATAGATCTTGTTTTCAGATCATGTGGTTTAACTCCTTGCCAAAAAGGTATGATATTGGAAGAATTTTGAGCAATCACAATCCTATAAATTTAGATGATTATCAATTGATTGATTACTGTATTTAGAGAATCTGGATCACTTGCCAACAAAATATGTTCCAACAAAATATGATTAATGTTTTGTGAATAGCTAATCCCAACTCGAATGATTAATGGGTATGCATCGATTTGAATGTTTGTCTCTCAAAAAGAGTGTTTGCCATTAAGTATGATTTTGTTTTTAAACAAAAACAATTGCTGTATCAGCAAAATCATATTTGTGTTTGGCAGTTATTAATTAAATTAGATTATTTTTGCTGATGACAATTGTTTTTTATTCTTCTTTGAAAAACAAAACCATACAATGGTGGATACTCTCTAAATTGCCAACCATTAATAGCTGACCTGTTAAAGGGGTGTTTGACAACATAATTAACTTTGTTTTTGAAAATTAAAAACTAATCATCATATCAGCAAAATTATATTGTTTTTACTAATTTAGCAGTTGTTTTTGTTTTCAAAAACAAAACCAATCATATTATCAAACACGTTCTAAGTTTTTCTATTTTCCATCTGATAAGGGCCCTGCAACATTGATGTTTATCATTCTTTGCTAAAGGTTCAGGCAACAAATATCTGTTATGAATTAATGAATGATAAACATGAGGATATTTTTAGCTGATGATCACACTATATATCAGGTATAATTTGCCACCTGTCAAGTATCTAGACTATTGAAAGGGCCCCACAATAAAGACCCCTTATAAATTAATTAATTTGGGTGTATCCACTCTCCACATTTATATCACCACACTATCAGGTCAGGGAATATCTTAGGTCTAGGAGTCAATAACTTGCCACCTGTCAAATATATAGAGGATTGGGAATTTGGGATATACTTTGGAAAGGCCCATTATAAATGTATGTCAGAGAATGGAAGATTTCAATGAATGAAGAGGAGTCTGGAAACAGACATGAATGGTTGGATTTGAATGAAAAGGATAGTCGTGGGGGGCAGTGCATGTGACTGGGGGGTAACTTTTTATGATGTCTCCCTCAACGTCGAACCGTTGGAATGTGATGGAATAGACAGAAGTTCTACAAATAAATTTATTTTTCTTTCAAATTATTTATTAACAAAAAAGTGGATGACATATAATCTCATGTGTCGAAAATAAAATATTCTCATATGATGGTTTTTACAGGTTTGTGTTTGGTTTAAAGGAAAAAGTAGGGAAAAGAAGGGAAAGGTGAGAAAACTTATACAAGATTTGTAAAAGTTTCTCTACATTTTTCTTCATTTCCCTATCTTTTTCTTCAAACCAAACATAGCCTTAAAGTTTCATCTAATAATCTTGCAAATCCAATTTTGCCATTTTTTTTTTCTGATATATCTTTTAGAATAAGATAATACAAGGCTGTTTTTAAAAGGTTTAAAAATTCAAACTCCAATTACAAATCCGGAATAGTGGTTCCAATTATTTTTTAATCTTGAATTAAATCATTATTAAATATGAGGTTCTGTTTGATTTCAGGTATAAAATGATGAAGGAAAACAAGTGAGAAATGAACTTTTTTCCAAACTGAGTTTTTGTAAGTCATTTTTCAAATACAATATATTTCTCTAGCAACCAAAAACAACCTAAATTTCAATTGGTGCTCAAAAATAATATAAGATTGATTAGCTATAAATAGTTAATATAGCAAATGTAACAACTTATATAGACACAGTAAGGAATAAAAAGAGAAAAAAAATTGTAATAGTATCCATTATTTCATTTTAGGTGGCTGACTTGGCCATGTCCCAATTTTAATAAAGTGGATACAACCCAATAAAAAGACAAAAATACCCCTGTTCATAATGATAAAATCTAATATAGTCAGGATACACTTTAGTTTAGGGCATTTCCCCTTTGCCCAAAGTATGATGAATGGTTGATTCTTACTAAGTGGGTGTTTGGCATCAAGAGAAAATGGTGTTATATAGGCATCACATCAGAGAAAGCGGTCCTTTAAATAATGCYCTCTTGTTTAGTATCGTTTTTTCAGAAAAAAATATTGCTCCAGATCATACCTTTGAAATCAGGAAAGTTTGATCTAAAGCCAAATTCAATGTTTTCTGAAAAAACAGTACGATATTCCTAAACATCAATGCCAAACACCTACTAAGTTTTCCAAACTTTCTCCAACTCATGGCATTGAAAACTGACATCTCTCAGTCAGCATTCAGCAGTTCAATTTATGGTTTGTCATTAATGGATGTTGATATTTTTCGTTCAGATTTCTAGCAAATTTTAATGAAATAAAATCAGAATCAAAGGATATTAAGCCTCGTAAAAGAAACATAAACCTATCCCCATTTCATTTGCCACGTGTCAAATAGTTGTGGATTGAATGACTCAACCACCAACTCAACCCTATCTGGGTCTTTAATATTGTACTTGTATAGTTAATTTTTCCAGGCATATACGGCATCTCTGGACCCAGATCATTCTCTCTTGCCCATGTTAGAATATTAACTCTTAAACAGTTTTCTCTCTGGAGCCTTTTATCCATTGGTTGGAAATCTTCAAGGCATTAAGCACATTCTCCAATTCCAATCCACACATCCAATAATCCAAACAAACACATGGCTGCATGAAGAGACCAAACAAATGGAGCTGACTTTTCTTGATGGGTGCTTGGGGGTCTGAACAAATCCAAAATCTACATTCACTCTGACACTCTCTCAACATTGGACAAGAAGAGCCGCCCAAGTACAAGGGTATTTTGGTAACTGTACACAAGAGGGTAAATTAAGAGTAATAAATAAAACAAGTGATTGGATATATTGAGTTATCCTGTGGGCTTTATAGCTTATGGGTTGTCTAGTTGTATGTGGAAGAATTTATGGGCGTGGGCGATAAAGTGGGTCCCCACGTTTGACCACCACTGGTTTGAGGAAAGATCCAATTAGTCAATTTAATCTTGACCCTCAAATGGGTGGACTAAATTGTGATTTATTGTTTTAATATGGGTTGTTAAGTCAGTTAAACCCTAGTATAATTAGTGTAGGAAGTGCAGGAATAAGGCAAAGCTGCCGACAGTTTAGTCTTTACAGCGGCTTATGAAGACAGAAAGAAGGGTCAGCTTATTATTGAGTGTTCACACTAACACACACCTGTCTCTTCCCTACTTTTCTTTTATTCTTTTATTGGCCTCTTTCTTTGTTCGTAGTCATTATCTCATGGATGAGGATGACCAACTCTTTTCTTTCTTATCTATTTGTTCATTTATATAGACTGGGCCTGGACGCAAGGGTTTTTATTCTTTTGACCCAAATCCAACTTTGCTCAACCCCTTCTAATAAATGGACTGAAAATATTCTTTAAGACAAAAACACCCTTTCTAGTGGGAACTGATTTGGGAAAACCCATTTCTGATCAACCCAGGTGAGAAAGATAAATATACCATTTTACTTTGGCTCTTTTTGTCTTTTTAAAACATGTAGTTTTTGTCTCCTCATGATTAGAAGTCTTCCTTTATCAAAATTGGCATTTGTCCATAGGCCTGTCAGTGATTTTTGAAAATTTGGGGGTCAATCCGACATTCAATCTCATTATCTTGGATTCGAATGATATATTTATTTAATTAGATCAAATTCAGATGTTACAATTTACATCTGATTAACAATTGGATCGGATTCAAATTTAATCCCATCGGTTCCAATTTAAATTTGAATCTAATTATATTTAAAATTATAAAAATTTATTCTATATTATATTTATATTTATATTTATTTATTATATAAAAGTTAAAAATAAATAAATTTTTAATTTTTTTGATATTTTAGAAAATTTATAGTGAAATTAAATTAAATCTAGATACAATATGAATCCATTAAAATTAGAATTCAAATATAAGTCTTTATATCCGATCAGATTCAGATGTATGTTCTCAATTAAAATCCGCATCCGATCCGATTATAGCCCTAATTTGCCCATATCAYTTCTTGTTATTTTATAATAAACATTCCTCAAAAAAATAACTCCAATTTAACGGGCTTAAAGGGGTGGCCCAAGCCCAGAAGACCTGGGCTTCTCATGGTCTTAGTCGCCACATGAGCTCCACCACCTGTTAATACGCGCTAACGCGTAGGAGAATAAAAATTTTCTTAAACCCGTCTGCTGCATAGAAGGACAAAAGTCCCCCAAGAAACAAGAACCTTCTCTCCTCCCTCACCGACCCTTTTCCTCCGTCAGATGCAGGCAGGAGAACTGACGGAAAAAAGACATTAGTGGTCCCACAAAGTGGACCCCACACCCATTATCATACTTCACAGCCTACAATAATACAATAAAATAATAGCAATATGACGATATATATATTTTTTATTTTACAAACATTTAAAAAAGATCTCAGCCCAAGGAAACCAGCCAAGGCGGTGGTCGGTGGAGCCCCTGCGAAAACCGTGACATAGAATGGACTGGGCCAGTACTCTTTTATACCCAAACTACCCCTATAATTAATATTCAAAAGTAGTCTCAAAYGGGGCACGTTCTAAAATAATTTTGTCGGTAGAAATATTGGAATTATGCATGGTTTTTTCGTAATTATAAAAAATCCAGAGCCCATTCTTAGTAGTTCAAATATCTCTCACTCCTTCCCTACCGTAGAATTAGTGAATTACTATCACGACTAGTTTTTCATCCCTCGCAGTGAGAGAGAAAACTGTAAAGAAGAGAAGATCATTGCCTCAATTGGCCCACACTGCCTCTCTCTCTCTCTCTCTCTCTCTCTCTCTCTCTCTCTCTCTTTATATATTCATCCATCTGTACTCTTCTTTTTTCAGGGCTCGAGCTAATCCCTCCTCCAAATCTTCTCAATCGAGTCCTTTTGTTTTCAGAACCATTGATTGGTAATGGCTTCTCCACCAGACACGAGCAAGACCACCAAACTGGAGCGCTACAATAGCTACCTCCGCCGCGTAAACAGTACCAAACTATTGGCTGCTTCGTCCAAGCTTCTCTTCCGAGTTACCCTCCTCGTCGCTCTCATTCTCATTTTCTTCTTCACTCTTAATCACCCTCCCCTTTCCTCCGATAGTCCCAACCATGTCCCCCTCCACCACCACCAGAACTTCCTCGCCTCCGCCTTCTACGGCAACGGCGCTACCTGGGAGAAGCAAGTCCGCCACTCGTCTACTCCCCGCAGATCCAATGGCTTCTCTGTGCTGGTCACTGGGGCCGCTGGCTTCGTGGGTACCCACTGCTCACTGGCTTTGAAGAAGCGAGGCGATGGAGTTCTTGGCCTCGATAACTTCAATTCCTACTATGACCCATCACTCAAACGCGCCCGTCAAGCCCTTCTATCGAAGCACGAAATCTTCATCGTCAAGGGTGATCTGAACGATGCCCCATTACTGTCCAAGCTCTTCGACGTCGTTCCGTTCACTCACGTCCTCCACTTGGCAGCTCAGGCGGGTGTGCGTTACGCCATGAAGAACCCACAGTCGTACGTGAACTCCAACATAGCCGGGTTCGTAAATCTGCTCGAGGTCGCCAAATCGGTCAATCCTCAACCCGCCATTGTCTGGGCATCGTCCAGCTCCGTCTACGGCCTGAACACCGATAACCCATTTTCTGAATCCCACCGGACAGACCAACCGGCGAGTCTATACGCCGCAACAAAGAAGGCCGGCGAGGAGATCGCTCACACTTACAACCACATCCACGGTCTCTCCATTACAGGACTCCGCTTCTTCACCGTCTACGGCCCGTGGGGACGACCCGACATGGCTTACTTCTTCTTCACTAAGGATATTCTTCAGGGCAAGCCCATTACCATTTATCGAACACAGGACGATAAGGAAGTCGCCCGAGACTTCACTTACATCGACGACGTCGTGAAGGGATGCCTTGGCGCGCTGGACACGGCGGAGAAGAGCACGGGAAGCGGGGGGAAGAAGCGAGGACCGGCGCAGCTCAGAATCTACAACCTGGGGAACACGTCGCCGGTGTCGGTGGGAAAGCTGGTTTCGATCCTTGAAGGGCATCTGAGCATGAAAGCAAAGAAGAATGTCGTGAAGATGCCGAGGAATGGCGACGTTCCCTTCACCCATGCTAACGTGAGCCTGGCGTACAGGGATTTCGGGTATAAGCCCACCACCGATTTGTCGACTGGGTTGAGGAAGTTCGTCAAGTGGTACGTTGGGTATTACGGGATTCATTCGAAGGCAAATAAGGAAAAGGGAAGTAGCGACGGTGACGGTGCCGGAGCTGAATCATCTTGAACTCGCCGTCTTTCTTTTTTCTGTTAATTTCTGTTTTTAAAATATATATATGCTTTTTTTTTCTTCTTCGGTTGTTCATTGTTGATTTCGATGTAGAATATAATTATAGTACATAAAAGAGGGGGAGAAAAGCAAAAGAAGAAGAGGAACAAGAACTGGGGAAGTGTCTATTTGAGGCTCTGGATGTAATAATGCAAGTGAAATTGTGTAGCACAGGGGTTCGAATCTGCTAGAATGGTGCAGATCGGCCGTCCGAATGATATCAAGATTAATGAACAGGAAAACGATGATTTCATCTTTTCTCTTTTCTCTTTTCTCTTTTCTTTTTTCTTTTATTTTTTATTTTGATGATCTAGGCATTGACACGTATCAAGCGAAGGAATGTGTTTAAGAGGGTAAATAATGGTTTGACTACGTTGTACATATGTGCCGTCACATCTGGTCGTGCGATATGCTGACCAAATTTGTTTTCGACTTTTGGCGGTGATTAAAAAACAAAGGCAATAACAATAACCTAGGAGATGCAGTTTCATTCATTTGTTCCGATAATTAATGTAATCGTGGCGTGATTTCTGACGCTCAGTCGCTTCTTCTTGCTTGTGCCACGCAGATTAGACTTTGAGGCTTCCTCACTCTCTTTGGTCTTTTGCTATTCCGATGTTCGTGGTGTTGATGTAAATTTTTCTTCCAAGAAATTCTTACTGCCTGTTTGGCGTGAATGTTTTGTGTGTGGGTTAATAAATCTTTTATTTAATACGTGGGACTCACATATCATTGGTGGACATGTTTGTGGGGTCATGTATATTTTACAAGGTGAGTTCGATATATCATTGGTGGACATGTATGTAGGGTTCATGTGCCGATATGTATGTGGGGCCTATGTCCATTTTACAAGGTGGGCCCGACATACCATTGGTGGCTGATGTTGTGCGATTTGACTGCTCCCTACTGGAGGGTGATATGGCTTCCAATCGGACGACGAGCTAGGCGGATCTGCAAAATAAGATCAGAGAACTCGGGGTGGCTAGCCCGACAAGGTCGCTTCGATGCTTAAGTTAGTAAGCTTGTTGCGAGCTGAAATAACTTTTTGGGAATATAGAGAGCTAGAGAGCTAGAGAGCAGAGAAATCACGCGTACCTTGTGCCCTTGGGGTTGGAGTCTTTATATAGTTGAGTCCTCGCGGGTTTTGTAGATCGGTTCCGGGATCTCCGTCACGATGGGATCCGTTTCCGCTTTAATTGGAGGATAATGTTACCAACTGATGAGACTTATCAATTCCGTCCGAACCGAGCGGGGAGGAGATAAGGCTAGCCGTTACGCGACGTGATCCCGTAAGGTTCGGAATCCGTTGGAGGGATTTCCGGGATCACGTAGTGGTCTGAGCTGGTATCCCCGAGCTGATGCTTTTTAGTTCCGAACTGGATTGAATGCTGAAGTGCCTTGGGACCGAGGTGATCCTGTTGCGACCTCGTCCCGAGGTGACCCGTGCCGAGGTGGTTGAATATCCGAGCTCGATCTGTTGCGAACTTGGCATGTCAGGCTGAGCTGTTATCTATTAGTCAGGTCGTGTCCACGTGTCCCCTTATTACTAGGTCGGGCCAAATCACCCTTCATCAATTGCCCCCCACTCCCTGAGCTAGGGGTTTCGACCCAGTGCGGGGAGTTCATGACGAGTCCAAGTGGATTTGGCACGAGGTCTAGGCGATTTGCCGAGTGGATCGGTTGGTCAGGCTTGTTCGAACTTCCGGTTTAACCAACAATAACCCAAGTCGCGTCAGGTGTAAGCGCGGACGTCACGCTGTTTATGGACTCCGCGGACGTCAAAAACGCGTTCAATCGATTTCGTCCTCGGGCGTTGTGCAATCGGTTTTCATGAGAGCTGTTGGATCGAGCAGGTCTTAGTCGTTGTTCGGCTCGCGATGGATTATAAATAGAGGGCCGAGGGACCCTTCATCCTCACCAAAAATTTTGTGATTGAGCTCTCCCGAGGTCGCGTCGGAGTCTTTCAGCTCGCTACTTCCTTCTTTGTATTCCGAGGTCGTTCTCCTTTTGGTGAGTTCATCTTTTCTTAGTTCTCCTTTCTTGTTCTTGTTTTAACATGTCTAGTGCTAGTATAGATAGGTTCCTTGGCAATTCTAGTGAGCTCGAGGGTGCCGAGGTATAGTCCTTGCTAGATAGCTCCCCCCTTCGCCCCTTAGAGGAAACTTCTTTACTTGAAGTTGGGCCATCTCGGCCTGAGGAGCCCGAGGCTCGGGAGGAAGGACCGACCTCCAGAGAGGAGGTCCCATCTTCTTCTTGGGGTCAGGATCCGGATGACTTTGGTCCTTCTACCATGACCTCGGATAGGTTACTGTCTTTGGTAGCTCGTTACCGTTTCCCTGATAGCTTAGTTTTTAGCGTTCCTTTAGGTCAGTACCCTTGGGCTCATTATCACCATGAGCTCGCAGTTTTCAAAGAGCAACTCATAGCTGGACTGTGCTTCCCGCTCCACCCATTTATTATAGAAATAATCAAGTTTTTTGACATCACCATCGACCAACTACACTCGAACTCTATCCGAACCATAGTAGGTACTATCTCCCTGTTCCACGAATACAATCGACCTCTGTCCTTAGATGTCTTTAGCTCGATTTGCTCAATCAAAAAGAACTCCGCTTGTCTGCGCGGGGACGTCCGACAAAGTTACTACATCTCTCCTCGGCCCGGGTTTAAAATCCTATTCGGTAGCCCGAACAAAGTATCTGCTTAGAAGAGAAGATACTTTTTTGTTCAGAATTCTAAGGGGTGGCCCTTCCCGACTCACTGGAGGGTGGCTATCAAAGATCCCGGAGTAAGCTTAGACGCGGAGACTAGGGCGGTTGTTAGCTCCTTGAGGGACCTCGGCCTGGAGATGAAAGATTTCTTGGCCGAGGAGAAGCTTGTGTGAGCTGGGCTGAGCCCTCCTGGTAGGTCTTCACCTTGGTACTTACTTTCATTAAATTTTCTTTAGTTTGTGACTAACCTTTTCCTTTCCTCTTGTAGTAGCCATGCCGGAGGTCGATGCAGAAAACCTCTTGAAGAGCTTCTAGAGAGGGAAGAAGAGGAAGGCTTCAAAGAAGTCTTGCCGGGAGGTCGGTCCTTCTGCCCCTGTTCCATCCGAGGTCACTGCGCCGGAGCCGATCTCTGCTGAGCTTCTAGAGGAGGAGTCTGTCCTCAACCTCCCATTGTGGACCTGGATGAAGACCAGCGCGAAGGCGTTCTGCCTCATGAATCGGAGAGCACTCCCGCGCCCGAGCCCCAGCTCCCGAAGGAAAGTATAATGACCCCTTGGCTCGGGCTGCTCAAGAATAAGGACACCATTTTTCCTACTGAGGTCGCGGAGTGGGCCGACATGCCTACAAGTCAGCTCGGAGGTCGGGCTGCCAGCTATTGCATAGTGGTGAGTATTCTTACTTTTCACTTCATTTCCTTGTCGGTTTCCTTGTYTGTTTCCTTGTTTGTTTTTTAAGTGTACTTACCTATGTTTCCTTTGCTAGGTGAACTCCTCCATTCATTCATTGGTCTACCATTCCGAGGTTTGCCTGAAGCAAGCTCGAGAAGCCAAGGAGAAGGCACGAAAACTTTACTGCGAACTCGACATAGCTTGGGGCGAGGTTCTTCAGGCTAAGAAGGGAGCTCGGAGTCAACAGGAGATGATCCTGGCTCTGACTGAGGAGAAGGGGAAGCTTCAGCGCGAGAATGAGAACCTTGAGGCAATGATCCGAGAGCGCACCGAAATCTTCGATATCGCCATTCAAGAGGCACAAGCTAAAGAGAGGGAGCACTCCATTGAAAAATTCAAGGAGTCTCTGGAGTTCCACAACCTCCAAGTCGAATATGGATCAAGCTCTTACCGGTCCGGCTTCAAGCCATGCAAGTATCTGATACGGCAGAAGTTTCCCGAACTGGACTTTGGAGTCGTTTCTATTTCTGACCTTACTCCCGAGGTGGCGAAGGCGGGTAACGAAGAACCCGGCTCCTCCGAGGAGGAAAGTGACGATGAAGTCCCCAAGGCGGGCCCATTAGGTCGAGAGGACACGGAGGAGGAGAATATGGAGACCGACCTGCTTGGCAGTCCGAATGCATGACCCTTGCCTTTTTCCTTGGACCCTTTTGATGTACACCTTGGGCCTCCGAGCTCAGGTTATAATGAAAGTTTTTGCTTCTTCTTTCTTTTGTACTCAACATTTTATTTTAATGAAATGAAACATTTTGACTATTTTTGTGCAAAAAAATTCTAAGTATGAGCAATTCCCGAACTGGCGAACTTAACCAAAAAGGAGTAGGGATATTGAAGAAAATTTTTCTAAGTGTTTGTTACCCCGAAGTGCCGAATTAACAAGCTGGAGTCCGAGTAGGGGTAACTTATCTTTATTGTACGCCGAGGTGGGCGGACATCGTAGGGTATGTACCCGACATGTCTGCTCGCGGGCTACTTGCTTAGATATCGGTTGTCCCTTAGAACTAGTGGGTCCAACCTATTATTATATGCCGAACTGGGCTAGACGTCATAGGGTTTATACCTGAACTATCTATGCCTTAGGCATGAGTGGTGATTTGCCTATGTCGAAGAGGTGACTAGGACTGTTCTGCCTATGCCAAAGAGTGACTAGGACTTGTCTGCCCATGCCGAAGAGGTGACTGAGACTTGTCTGCCCATGACGAAGAGGCGACTGAGACTTATCATAGTGCCGAGGTCTTATGTTAGATCGGCATCATGGCTCTTAGGCTTCTAGGAGTGACTCGTAGTCCTCTCTCCAGTTTGGCGTTCATAGGTAGTATCTTCTCAGGTTGCCGATATTCCACGCTCGAGGTACTTGTTTTCCTTCCAAGGTCTCGAGCTCGTATGTACCTTCCCCGAATACCCGTCTTACTTGGTACGGACCTACCCAGTTTGGTCCGAGCTTACCAACACCGGGCTCAGGTACCATAACCTTCCGAAGAACCTGGTCGTCGACACGAAAGTGTCGCTTCTTGACCTAGGCATTATAGTACCGAGCCACTCTCTACTAGTAAGCTGCAGTCCGGATGTATGCCAGGTCTCGTACTTCTTCCACCAGGCCGAGGTTAGTACGGAGCTCGTCATCGTTTGTCTCCTTGTCGTAGGCCTCCAAGCGTAGTGTTGGCACCTTGATTTCTGCTGGGATCACCGCCTCTGTACCATAAGTGAGATTGAAGGGAGTCTCACCCATAGCACACTGGACAGTTCGTCTACCCACAACCCTTTGGCTCGGGCTAAGCGAGCCTTCAGTCCACGGAGTATGGCTCTGTTGGTGACTTCCGCTTGCC